ATGAATTATGCTTGTAGAAATCTGCCACCATGGGAGAAGGGTCAAGCCGAAAGCCATCAATGGGAAAGATGAAGAAAGATGGGCTCTCAGAGCAGGGGTTTCTGGCTAAAAGCTGTTCCTTGCTCACTGTTTCAATTTTTTTTTCTCTCAGCCCCCTCAGGCTGATTCTTAGGCTAAGATGGTGGAGATGGTGTTTGCTGTAGTAGAGAAAGAAAGTGGTGAGCTGAACCCAGGGATAGTGCTAAATAGCTTCCCAAGTCACGCTTGGCTCAGGCTTTTCCAGGGAAGATGGACACAGGAGCTAGAAGTCCAGGTGGCAGGACACGCCTGGATAGCAAGGAGAGAGAGTCTGCAATGCCCATACAAGGGACAGCAGTCCAAACCCTATCTTGCATAAGCAGATGGAGTCTGACAAAGGCTTGCCCTAAACTGTCTCCCCTGTAGGACTGATCTAGCCCTATTAAGCCCTTGGTGGGCAGCCTGGGAGAACAGGGGTCAGGGTAGCCCAGTGTTGGACAGGACACCATGGGAGACAGACCCTCATGTGTTTTCTGTCTCATCTCCATCTCTCAAAGCTTTTGGACATGCACACAGCTGGAGGAGATCTCCCTAGCAGAGAACGTTGGAAATCTCCCTCTAGTGAGACTGGGCAGCGGTGGCAGGGTTGGGGTGGGGACTGCCTTGAGAAAGCAGCTGAGGAAAGGTTTCTTGAGCTTATAAACATATTGAGAAATTTTGTAGTATACAACATCAGCACACAAAAACCAGTTTCTTTCTTACATGTCAATAATGAATATGTTGAGAAAGAAATCAGGAAAACAATTCCATTCACACTAGCCTCAAAAGGTCTTCAGAATTAATTTAACGAAAGAGATAAAAGAGCTCCTCAAAGAAAAGTATGGAAGGCTGGAAAAAGTAAGAGAGAAGACACCAGAAAATGGAAAGCCCGCCCATGTTCAGAGTTAGGAAAAAATAACATTGTTAAAATGGCCACATTACCAAGCAATCTACAGGAGTCAATGCAATACTCATCAAAATATAGTTCTGAGAAGAACTGGAAATAACAGTTCTAAAATCTGTTTGGAAGAACAAGAGACCCAGAATAGCCAATGCAACTCAGATGCAGAGTAACCAAAGCAGAGTAGAGCTGGAGGCATCACAATATTCAATATTGAAATACTGAAATCCTTGAGGATTTAGATAACATGGATCAATTTTTCTAATTATGAGCTTTTTGCATTGAACCTCCAAGGTCATATGAATGTAAATTATCAGCCTGTAGCCCTTCAGCTTGATCTATTTGATCCACTGGCCTCCAAGATCATGTTGCTTCCTTCCATGGTTCTGCATCAGGAAGTTCCTATTTGATACTAAATTGATAGCAATCTTAGGGACTGAGCAGGCACTCAATGGGCACCAAGCAGAAGAGGGGTGTTAGATCTGTGTTCTTTAGTTGTAACCCAGCAGAGATGCACCATATACCAGTGAATCCTGAAGTAGACATTGGATGGAGGAAGGTCCATTAGAAATGTTATTTCCTCCTCCTCCATCACACTTTGACTAGCTAAACTGGAGGACACCAACATGCTAAATTTCATAATCCATTCTCCAAATGCCATAGAAAAATGCCACAATTAAAATTACATGACTGAAGACTTGTGTTTCAAAACAAGATCCTCATAATGCCATCCAAAACCAAACAATAGAGGTCATTCCTTGGGCTTTAACTATTTAATGTGTGGTTTGTGGATGACTTGCTTAAGATAATTGAAAGGCATGAAAGAAACAGGGAGGCCCATGTTGGGGTTGAGGGAAAGAAAAAAGGGCTTCTAGAAAAAACAATGATTTCAGATTGGAGAATATTGCTCCAGAAAATAGAAAGGATTTATGAAAAAATAGAAAAAAAATGAGATTAGAGAGAATATAGGAGTATAAAAAACAGGGTGCTGCCCATGCTTTGAATGCTTTGGACACAGGCATTGGGCATTCTCTTCCTCTTAATTAAGAAATGTAGGTGTGTGTAAGGAAGGAGGTGAACGATACATCAAATATTAATAAAATAATCCCAAGATCATTGGGTTGCTTACAACTGTGAAATATTACTGAGGGTGTATGGACCTCAGCCTGAATACTTTAATCATAGATATTTTTATTAAAAATATACACAGAGATCTGGGGTTGTAGCTCAGTGGCAGAGCACTTGCCTAGCATGTGTGAGACACTGGGCTCCATCCTTGGCACCACATAAAAATAAACAAACAAAATAAAGACAAGCTGTCCATCAGCCAATACAAAAAATAAATACAAATAAAAAAAATAAAATAGAGTTTTTGGGCCTGCATGTTTCCTTCTTCTTGTCCTCTTTTCTATTTAGAAGGTATATAAGCAATATAGAAGTATAGAATCTAACATGTGTCTCAAAGTTACATCTCCTGGGACTCTCAAAGGATCCAGAACTACAGCCCACCCTCTTTGGGCTGTTCCTGTCCATATTCCTGATTGGGATGTTTGGGAACCTGCTCATCCTCCTGGCCATCAAATCTGATTCCCCCTGCCCTACTTCATATATTTATTCCTCTCCAAAGTGTCATTAGCATGCACTTTTAAATCTCCACCATCCAAAATAAGACTCATCGCCTATGTGCACTTCTTGACACAGATCTCTTTTTATCATTATTGGGTACATAGCTGATCTGCTTCTGACTGTGTTGGCCTATAACATCTTTTTGGCTTTCTGTCATCCTACATTACCCAGTCATCATGAGCTTTGGCCTCTGTGGCTTATTAATTTTTATGTCTTTTTGGTTAGCCTTTTGGATTATTAGCTGAAAATTTGGTTGTCTTACAATTTACTGACTTAAAGGGTGTGAAATTTTCTAGTTTCAGCTGCTTTATCTTACCTGTTCTGACACCTATTCTAATAATATTGTAAAGTATCTTATTGTTCATATTTATGGCTCCCCCCATCTCAGGAATCCTGTTTCTTAATGTAAAATTATTTCTGCTATTCTGAGAATCCATCCACAGGTGGAAAGTACAAAGCCTTTTCTACCTGTGTATCTCATCTGTCAGTTGTCTGCTTATTTTTCAAAACATGCATAAAAGTGAACCTCAGACAAGCTATATCATTTTCTTCTTGAAAGGTTGTGGTTACTTCAATAATGTACTCCTCTGCTGAATCCCTTCATCTACGGTATAAGGATCAGGGACATTAAAAGTGTCCTAGGGAGGCTCCACAGGACCTGTGTCATCCAACTGGAATATATATATTGTAAAATGTTGCAAAGCTACATTTAGCCTCCTTGGTGACATTATTTTTGTAGTTCCATGGCTTTAATTTCTTGTCAGGTATCATAGGACACTGGAGTAGCCACTGCTGAAGAGGGTGTTTTGGGGAGTTTTTAAAATGGAAACAAAGCCTCCATTTGGAAACGTGAAAATTTTCTGGAGATGGATGGGATGATTGTTTACTACAATGTCAGTGTAATTAATGCCTATAAATGTGCACTTGGCAGGGAAGGAATCTCATTTTCCCCAAATATTGATTTTACTGTAATAAAATGTAAATAAAAGCAAAATTCAACCCTAAAAAGAAATCAAAGAAATTAATTATACCCAGGAGATTATTTTTCAGTAGTGGAAGGACTACAAACACCTTTTGACATTTTCTCCTCTTCTTCCTCCACCATTAATATGAGGAAGTCCTTAGAGTGGGCCAATTTACCTAATTATGAGCTTTGAGCATTGAGTCTCCAAGGTCCTATAAAAGTCAATGTCAGCTTGTACCCCTAGTCCCTCAGCTCAATGGCTCCAGTCTAATGTATGCCATACCTATGTCTCTTCCTTCCATGGTTTGGATCAGGAGGCTGCGCTGATGTCAATCCTAAAGCCTGAGCAGGAGGTCATTTACTACCAAGCAGGGAGGAGTGTTGGAACCACAGTCCTTCATCATGACCCACCAGAGACACAGTGCAAACCAGTAAGTGTAGGAACTGAAGGATGGAGGAGGGACTACCCAAGGCATTGCTTTCTTTTCATCAGGAAAGTCATAATATCCAGGTAGTTGTATTGGAGAAGAATAATGTGCAAAATTTTACTTATGAGTACTCTGAGTTTGCATATGTGATTTTCGCAAGAGAAATCTTTCCTCTCACACTCTGCTTTCCATAGCCTGTTATCCACCAAAGCAAAAAAAAAAATGTACCCTTTTCAACTGTGTCCTAAGCACTGCAATAGTACCCATAGCCTCATGAATCTTTATTGGAGAATTTTGAGTGCCAAGTTCTGAGCTATGTGATCCATGTAGATTATTTGAATTTATCTTCAAAGTTCTTCCCAAGGTATAAGTACTACATTATTTTTACAAAGACCAAAGGAGCACAGCTGTTTATGTAAATTTGTGCTAGGTGTTTAGGTTGGGTAGAATAACTGAAGCCATGTTTGACCTGAGCTGTGGATTTGAGACACAGGGTGTCTGGGCTCAACAATGCTGACAGGTTGTCCCCTCACAAGCCAACCATGCATTTCTTTTTCTTGGACTTCAGGATGGGACTTTACTATTGCTCCCATTTTGGAGTTTACGTTAGTTCTAGGGATACAATAATGTGTGACATCTGCTGCACAAATTCAGGTAGAATGGATGAGATGCCTGAGATCTAAGACAAAGAAGGCACACAATAATTCTACATAGACCTCCCTCCTTTCCCCACTCTGGGATTTCCTTGCAGCTGTCCATATCCTCCTGTTCTTTTAAATAGAGCACTCAATTTGAAAAGGGGACATAGTATCACATCTCTATTTCATTACTATTCAGGAAACTGAAAAGAGTTATTAATGTATTTGTTATGTGGCTGCAGTTCAGCCTCTGGATTATGTTTAAATATTCTTAAGTTTGGAAAATAATGAAAAAAAATTAGCACATCAGACTCAGAGTTTAACAATTTCATTTTGACTGCTGCTGTTGGCTCCAACTTAGTATTTCTTGAACGTACTGCAGGTTGTTAGTATCTCTGAAAATCAATATTGTCATTCAAACAGATTTCTAGTTGATACAGATGTATTAAGTAGAGATTAAAAAGAAAATGGGTATTCCCATTTTATGTGATTAATATGTGATGAATGTATAAAACAGGGGAAAATAAAAGTTGGCTGTTATTATTAATATGGCAATATGGCAAGGTTAATCTACATACTCCTTCAAATAAAATATCTTATGACCTGAAGTTAGTCAGCCTTTTCCTGTAATGTTGTATTTTAATTGTGTCCTTATGTCCTGTATGTTTGGAGAGGATTGTCTTATTTCTGATTCCCCAGAGCCTTTAACATATTTGGTATAAAGGACATAAAAAATGTTAAACACTGGATAGAACTTCCTTTGTTCACAGATCCTGGCCATAATCTCGGTGTCTTCAACACACTTGAGGCTTTCCTGTCTGTGCTTTCACCTTCTTAGGAACGTGCCATAGAACAAGAGATACGAGTAACAACTCTTGTTTTTGCCGTTGTCATGGGCCCATGGGCCCTATACTTATGCTTCACAGCATCTAAAGCATTCAGTTATTTCTTAAACAACAACAGAGATTTTCATAGGCATAAGAAAAGCCAACTAGGTACTATTGGGAGTGCCAGGAAACCTCTTTTCTTGGGCTGAGACACATGTTAGACTTCCACATCATTCCATCCTTCCAGTGTCCTTTGACAATAGTGTTTGCCAGCAGATAGCGAGTAGGTAAACAGAGAACAGACTGTTTTCTTAGCGATTTCTTAAGAAAAACCCCACAATGATCAAGTATTTAGTAAGATACAAACATGTATATTACGAGCTACACATGGTGTGACCATGAGTGTTATTCTTCCTATTTCCATTAAGTAGTACGAGCACAGAGAGGTACTGCTTATGTAGCAGGTCAATATACATGCCAAGAATGTGTATTAGTAACTCCTAGTGCAGGCTATTTTCTCTTTTACTAAAGTCAAACGTAGATAATACTCCCAATACAGTATAAATTTTCTGGAGTAGATACTTCAGATGAATTGTTCTTAGATGGGTCTCAGGGGTAATTTTAATAGTGCATATTAGGAAAACAGTGGGTACACATGATGATGAATTTTTTTCCTGGGACAATATATATAGGTGATTAATAATAATATTAACATTCATCCATAGTAGATGTCAAAAAATTATCCACCACACACACATTATAATTTTCACTTTTGTGAAATAGACATAACAAAGAATTTTTTGGGGGGGTACTGGGTATTGAACTCAGGGGCACTCAACCAGTGAGCCACATCCCCAGCCCTATTTTGTATTTTATTTAGAGACAGGGTCTCACTGAGTTGCTTAGCACCTCGCTTTTGCTGAGGCTGGCTCTGAACTCTCCATCCTCCTACTTTAGCCTCCCAACTCGCTGGGATTACAGGCATGTGCTACTGCGCCCAGCTAGACATAACAATTTTGAAAGTAGTATTACAATAATAAACTTAAAATTTACATGATGTCCCTCTCTCAGGTCATGCTGTACATCACTTAAAGCTTTGGAGACCGGTATTTGTACTTCACAGGGAGACTAAAAAGCACATGTTGATGTCCAGTAGTACATTTCAGGGACAAGAGAAGTTGTGCTGTGCACTCCTTAGATGAACTTATTTACCTTTTGGATATTTCTCAGAAAACTGTTTATGAATAAATAAATCAATTGTTATGGAAACATTGACAGCAGCATCTGTCCACCAAATTCATGATAGCAGCTGTGTTTGGAGGAGAGCTATGCAGAAGAAAGGAATCATGTAGAGATACCAAGAGCTCAAATTTCAAAGATAATAATTCAAATCTTGATATAATTTTAGTTGTGAAACAATAATTACCAAATATTTATACTTTCAAATTTATATTCTGTTTTATTCATTGTAATAACAGGTAATGAGACTGTACCATATCTTAAATCTTAATGCCAGTTATAATTTAAGACAGTCAGATATTCTCGTGAAATTGGGTTTGGTGTGACACCAGGCTATCTGAATGTTTTAACATTTACATAGGTAAATATGTTGATACACAAGATTGAAAGCCACTAGTTAAGCAATATATTTTATTTAAAAATTTCTTACAACAATGTTGCAAATTAGGTCTTTTTTTAATTACTTTGTCCACATGAAGAATCTGTTCCTCTGAGTTCACAATGGTTCATGTGCTTTTCTCTTTTGCCTCTTATCTCAATTAAATCATAGTGAGACCTGACAAAAATCATAATCCTGAGGTTTTTTTTCACAGAGTTTTCTTCACTAATTATAATTCATATACCAGAGAGATTGATGTGAAAGTTTTAAAGGTTTTTTTTTTTTTTTTTTTTTTTTTTTTTTTTTTTTTTTTTTTTAGATTTTTTAGTTGTCAATGGACTTTATTTATTTACTTATATGTGGTGCTGAGGATCTAACCCAGTACCTCACACATGCTAGGCAAGCACTCTACCATTGAGCCACAACCCCAGCCCCTGATGTGAATATTTATATGATAATCAAAAAAAGTTGGAACTGAAACTGGGTTTGGGGGGCATATAACTGGTGTAATGAGAGTGATTATGATCAGAAAAATAGTGCTGCATGGGAGCATGTTATCGTAGATTATTCTATCAAAAACTACAAAGAGGAAATTAAATTCTGTGCATGAATGATGATGTCATAGTGAACTTAATTGCCAGGCATGTTGGAACATGCCTGTAATCCAGAGGCTTGGGAGGCCGAGGCAGGAGTATTGTGAGTTCAAAGCCAGCCTCAGCAAGGGCTAGGTGCTAAGCAACTCAGTGAGACTCTGTCTCTAAATTAAATACAAATTAGGGCTGGGGATATGGCTCAGTGGTTGAGTGCCCCTGAGTTCAATCCCCAGTATTAAAAAATAAATAAATAAAACAAACTCAGCTGTTATGTATAACTATTAGACCCTAATAAAATCATTAAAAAACCCTGAAAGGGATAGTTTTTCCTCACCAGATAGGTATGGGGCTAATATAAATAAACTTGTATAAAATTAAAAAAAATTCAAAACCATTTTCTAATATTTCATTATTTTTAAATCACCGACAGGCACCATGTGCACTAATGCTATGATTTTGGTCTGTGACATCAATGATTATGTACAGTTATCAAACCATATTTCTTAACATTCAAGTCTATCTAGACCAAGGATAAGAGGAATATGTTGATTGCTTTTCAAAAGATAAAGAGTGTATGACCAAGGTCATAAATCCATGGAGGAAAATAAGAAAACCTAGAAGTGATAATACCCCGGAAGAAAACTGGTCCCTAGGAATCTGTTCTGATTATGAATTTTCATCTTTAATTTAATATTCAGATCATGCAGTTCTAGCTCTTATGGGGTGTTTATAAATATTCTTCATAAAATGGATTTGTACCATTGTCTTAGAATATGGTAATGTATAATAGACGGTCCCTTAATTTCTTCTAATAAAGTGTTTTTTTTTTTTTTTTTTTATCAAAGGGGAAACAATTTTTTTTTATAAATTTTTTTTTTTTCCTGGAGAGTAGACAGCATTTTACTGTGGTCATTATCTTGCTATATGAAGTGTTCTTGGTTTTCTAACATTGTTCATTTGAGTGTCTCTAAATCAGGTATGTAGGTTGGGTGCAGAGATTCATGACTGTAATACCCACTACTAGGCTTGCTGAAGCAAGAGATCTATTTCAAGGCCAGTCTGGGCAACTTTAGGGAGACCCTGTCTGTCTCAAAGTAAAATAAAAGTGGATATATATACAGTTTAGTAGAGTGTTAGCCTAGTGTGAGACCCTGGGTTTGCTCTGTAGTATGGCAAAAAAAAATATGTGTGTACAGAAGGGATAAATGATACATAAAACAGTATTGAGAAAGTTACAAGAGGATTTGTTCAGACTGTGAAAGGCTGGTGAAGGTGTACAGATCTGAGTCTGAATGTTCTAAGGATAAACAATTCAGTTAAATGTGCCTATGGAGTTTTGAATGCTGCTCATTTGTTTCCTTTTTCCCACCCTGTTTTCTCTCAAAGGTGTCCCAGCATTAAGGATGCACTAAATGTAACAGCCATCTTAGAATTCCAACTCCTGGGATTCTCAGAGGATCCAGACCAGCAACCAATCCTCTTTGGACTGTTCCTGTTCATGTACCTGGTCACTATTCTTGGGAATCTGCTCATCATCCTGGCGGTCAGCTCTGACTCCCACCTCCACACCCCCATGTACTTCTTCCTCTCCAACCTGTCCTTGACTGACATATTTTTCATTTCCACCACAGTCCCAAGAATGATTGTGAACATTATAACTCACAGTAGAGCCATCTCCTATGTGGGTTGCCTGACACAGATGTCCTTTTTTATCATTTTTGGATGTACGGATGGTATGCTTCTGACTGTGATGGCCTATGACCGTTTTGTGGCCATCTGTCACCCCCTGCAATACTTAGTCATCATGAATCCTCGCCTCTGTGGCTTCTTAGTTTTTATGTCTTTGTTGTTTAGCATTTTTGTATCCCAGATTCACATTCTGATTGCATTAGAGTTTACCAGCTTCACAGAGGTGGAGATTTCTAATTTCTTCTGTGACCCTGCTCAAGTTCTGAGTCTTTCCTGTTCTGACAGTTTCTTTGGTCTCATTATCAAGTATTTTATTGGTGCCATCTATGGTTTTTTCCCAGTATCAGGGATCCTTTTCTCTTACTATAAAATAGTTTCCTCCATTCTGAGAATCCCATCCTTGGGTGGGAAGTACAAGGCCTTCTCTATTTGTGGGTCTCACCTGAGTGTTGTTTGCTTATTTTATGGAACAGGAATTGGAGTCTACCTTGGTTCAGCTGTGTCATCCTCCCCCAAGAAAGATATGGTTTCTTCAGTGATGTACAGTGTGGTCACTCCCATGCTGAACCCCTTCATCTACAGCCTGAGGAATGAGGACATTAAAAGTACTCTTAGGCGGCTCCACAGTAGAACAGTCTAATCTCAGGACTTTTGGCCTCCATTTGATAAGTAGTTAGGAAAATGCAATAAGATGAAGCAAATAAATCTGTAAATACTGCATTATTGGTAACACTATTTTTGTATCTTATTGTATTTTATATATCAAGATGTTTAACAGCAGATTGATGGTTCATTATTTGTGGGAGGGATAAATGGGGAATTTCAAGTGGGATTTTGAAAGCTAAGAAACAGTGTGTAGTTGTGTGGACCTTAGATGTGAACACATGTGGGTGTACCTTGCATGTGAACATCTGGTGGTGAACCTTGGGTGTGAACACATGCTAGGAGTTGGTGTAGTTTGGACCTGGAATGTCCCCCAAAGACTCATACATTGAGGGGTTGGTGCCAGCTCAGGAGTGCTCACATGCTGGGTGAGAAATGCTGGGTGAGAAATGGTTGGTCCCCGAGAGCTCTAACCTCCTCTGTGGAATTATTCATGGATGGATTCATAGGTGAGAGGGCTTCAGGGAGGTGGTGGAAACTGTAAGAGGGGAAACATAACAACTAAAATATCCTCTGACCCAAAGTCAGCATTTTTTTTTAAAAAAATTCTATAATGGGCCCTTTTATTTCTATCCTTCTGCAAGTAAATGCTGTGTATTTGAAGAGGAATGATTAATCCTCTTTCATTTTTGATTCCACAAAACCACACAAAGGCACAGAGGCATAAAAAGTAAAAATCTGTTTTGAATATTGAAGAGATCATTCCCTGGGTCATAAAAATGTCCATAATCACTGTGTCTTCAACACACTCTGCTTTTTCTGCCTGCCATTTCATGCCTCTTAGGAATGTCTTATAGAACCTGAGGCAAGTTATGTTGGTACATTTTTGTCTATGTCATGGAAATACTGGCCTGTATTCCATTGGACAACGCCTGCAGCATTTTTTTTTTAAATTCCAAGATCATGTCTGAGATTATAATGATTGAAAAAGAAAAAAAAATAGAGGGGCATAAGCAAACACTGTGAAGGGGGCTAAAGAACATTTAAGATCCACAGCACTCCAAAGTGAATGCCATTTGAAATTTTATTACCCATTAGACTAAATTTTTCCATGGTCATGGGATTCTTAAATTGAAAATGCCAGGGTGACCCAACATTTACTAAGTTTCAATGTTCCTTTAGGTATCACACCTGGCATGGAGATGGGTGTTGTCTCCATTTCTATTAAGCAGTATGAGCTTAGAGAGGAGGAGAATTTTCCACATATTATGAACACAGTCAAATAAATGATATGGGAGAAAAATGCTATTTTCCTCACCCCATTTCAAGCCATTCTCCCTCCAATTGGATCTGAGTAGAAATATTATTCATAATACTGGGTCAAATATCTTGGTGATTTATCATGGGAGCATTATTTCTAAGATTGCTGTGATATTTCAATAATAGAACTTCAGAATAAGAGGATGTAGTTGATGATGACCCATATTTTTGTTTGGACAACAGATATAGGTTTTTAATAATAAAATGAATATACATCAATTGTTTAAAATCAAACAAATATCTTCCATCTGCATATTATATGGAAATTACATGGAGAGAGGAGCAAGAATTTTTAAAGGCTTGTTGTGATAATAAACTAACATATCAAATGATGTTCCTCCCTTACAATAAATACTGTGCATCAGTTAAGGCATTTCAAGTAGCCTTATGTCTTAAGCCAGTCCTTCAGCTTAACAGCGTCTCTTCTGAGAGCTGCACTGATGGGCCTCCTCTTATGGTCATCTGCTTCAGGAAGCTTCTATCTGACATGATCTTCATATGAATCCTGCAGATGGGGCCTGAGCCTTTATCAGGCACCTGAGATTGTTGGGACTTGGGATCTGCAATTCTTTGTTATGGCCCAGCAGAGACATAATGTAATCTAGTAGTGCAGAGGAAACCTTGGGATCTTGGAAGGACTGTTGGAAGTATTATTTTCTTATCATGAATAGAAACATCACAGTTTAGTAGCCAGCTGGAAGGACACAAATATGTATAGTTTCAATGATGTGGATTGAAAGTGAATCTCACCATTGTGTACCTCCACAAGAAATTAATTAAAATAGTAATAACTATGGGTAAAATGGCAGAAAGATCAATAGAGGGAAGGGAGCATGAGGTGGGAAAAATGTAGGGGAAGAATAGGTCCTATGGTCTGTATATTAAGAAGATATATTCCATGCTTGTATAATTATGCCAAGATAGATTCTACTGTCATGTATAACTAAAAAGAACCAATAAAAATGTGGAGTTTCAGAAATCTTATTCAAATCTTGTTCACTCTACCCATTGAGTTCTTCTTCCCATTTAAATCATGTCCAAAACAGCACAAATGGGTCCTTCTAAAGTGTCTCCTCAGTACTATGAAGATCCATGATGGTGATGATCAGGATGAGGAGAATGACAGTAGCCTTAACATCATGAACCCATAAAGAATGCTTCCAAGTTGCAGGTGATGAGTGACAGTTTTACGTGATATGTTTCATTTCTTATGCATCATCTAATTTTAGTTATGTATGCCCATTTTCACAGAAAATGAAAAAGTTAATTATCCTTATGTAACTTGTACTCATTTGTTAGGTAGCAAAGAGTGAAGCCTTGTTTGCATTGAACTGTGTGAGTATGGACACAGGGCATCATGGAGGAGAAATCTTGCTTGGCTGTACCATCAACAAGCCAATCAAACATTTCACTTCTCAATTAATTACTCCAATATGAAACTTTTTTCCCTGTCCTCTTCCTTGTGGGATTCCTGGTGATCACTGGGCAGAATACCGGGTGGTATCTGCTGTATCCACTATGGAAGAACAACCACAGGTCACAGGAGAGATCACATTCAGTACAGGTCATGCTCTTGCACCCACTCAGGGGTATTAATGCCCCTGATCACATGGTCCTCCATGGTTGTAAATCTCTCAATCTCAAAAGGAAACCTAAGGTCAGCTCTTGATCTCATTCTTACTCATGGAACTGAAAAGAGTTTAAAAATATTCCTGAGATGTACCCATGGTTAGGACCTCTGCTGAAAACTTTGTCAT